CAAGACACACACACACACACACACACACACACACACACACACACACACACACACACACACATTAATTATATTTCTAAATGTGTAGACACAAGAGATGCTATCATACTTGATTCTTGACATAATTATAGTTCGAAGCGATAGTTTAACTAACGGTTATTCACTGATTATTTTAGCCTTAACAGGCTATTTATCGTTAATTAATTTTCAAGTCATATTTAAATGTCGCACGAAAATAATAACATACAAATATTCAAATATTAATTATTAATGTAGATAAGATAATCATTTAAAGTAAATATTTTTGTGTAATTGAATACATTTTCTAATTAATTCTTTATTAAAATAACTATTCTATCATTAAAAAATTCATAGAGAGAGAATGAGATAATCATATTTTTAAAAAATGAAAATACACATGTTATTAACATTTCCATTTTGATTTTTTTGATTTTATGCAACAAATGATTTGCGAGACAAAAATCATTGATCTCGATACATCAATTAAGCTTTTGTGCACGTGTAACGATTCAGGAAGTTAATAATAGGAAATTAAGGAATAATATTAAGGAAGATTTCTCGATGGCAGTCTCCTCATAATGGAATTTGCCTTTGTAATGGCTCTGCCATTAATATTAATGCTGCTCGCATTCCTTCTTTCTTGATTAACGGCATGTTGAGTATTTCATAGTGGAAGCATTGATACTTACGCAGCACAAGTGCAAAATTACTAGGTATCTATAGATTTACATTATCGCAGAATATTTTTAGAGAAGAATATCACAGATAAATTTTTTTTATTTCGCGTTTCAAAGCGTCCAACGTAAGATGGACAAATCTAAAGCGGCCCGTTTCGAAGTATGAATAAGGCTTAATTTACGCTGGACGTATAATTAAACGGCTCAATGTAAGAATGAGGTCAGCCCATAATTCCTACTGTTCACTTTAGATACAACATCATATTTAAAGTGAACATTACAGACTATGTGTTGCCACCAATTACAGGGAGGGAATTTTTATTACTTTTTATTTTTGTCGGGCCCTTCAATTTTAATGGCTTTCCGAGCATGGTATTTTACAAAAGCGCGATTAAGCACGCGATCAATCTGTGCCCGTAATTAACCAAGTAATCGCCACTTTGTCGCCGATGAATAATGCATGTAATGCTCGTATTACGTATTCCCAAGTGGGATCATAAGCCGACGTACTCTCCATAATCGTTGAATGACTTAAATGCGCCGACAATCGGGGGCATTACATTTTTCAGCGGCGTCTTTGTTCGCGATTTTTTTTCGCGTGAAAAGAGAAGCGCGAGAATTTACATCGAAAGTTTACGTAAATCTTTTTCGGACACGTAAAACAGTTTATCGTTAAACTGAATCAGTCAAACAGATCCGTATAATCTGACATCAAGATCTGGACGTGCCTGTACGATTTATTGATGCGATCGCAGAAAGCAAATTGTCGTTATTCATGTCGAATAATGTTGGCATATATAATACATAAATAGGATTCCCACTTTTTTCTCTAAAACACGAGAAATTTGCCAAACAAAAACGCGAGTGCCGTTGAGGGGATAAGTGACATTAGCATTGCATTTCAATTTATTTCCAAACATATATCAGGATTAACTGTTTTCTCGCTAATTACATTTATAATTCATCTAGCATTTTGTGAAATTTACTCTTTGCATAAATCTCTTTGTATAAATTATTTTTTTATAAATTAGTTAAAGCTAAGTTATTTAATTATCATCAAGAAAAACTTTGATTTTCAAGCAATGTACTTTGATTTCTTTCAGCGCGAGAAGAAGCGAGTGTCGACCGCAGAGATACCTTTGACTACGTCCGCGACCAAGGTATGACTTTTTTTACAAAAGATTACGTCGAAAGCTTTCTTAAAAATCTCAAAACTTTTTCAAAAATTGTCCCTCGCGTGAAAAGTAAAGATTGTCACATAGTGCACGGAATAAACGAAAATGAAATTCGGTCAAAAATGAAAAAAAATCGTATGTGTTGAATCGAATTTTCCCAGTTTAAAAGAAGCTTACGTGTACGAGCGTGCTTAAAGCGATATGCCGCTTCATCATACGTCACTAAAGTCTCGTTTTTGTTTTAGAAATGGAAATAGCCGATTACCCATTCGCCTACGAGTTTCCTCCGTTCCTGTCTCGAGCGAGGGCACGGGGGATGCTGAACGGACGTTTCGCCGGCAGACGTTATCGAAGGGAGTCGCGAGGTATCCATGAAGAGTGCTGCGTCAAGGCGTGCACGATAAACGAACTGTCCAGCTATTGCGGTCCCTAAACGCGCGTTCGGTATCCGGTAACCCTTCGACTTCCGCTTTACTGCTCGATCACCATGCAAACCGAATAATCCCGGACACACACACACACACACACGCTCCACGCGCATATACCCATACATGTATACACCCACGTACACATAAAGGAAAATACACATACATTCCACATTGCGTACAATATATGTTGGAAAGTTCACCGGTAAACCGCATCATCGCTCATGCCGGAGACTGACTCGTGATAATGATGTATACATTTACGTATTTGCGATGGAACTGATCTTATAACACGTAGTCGTGCGCGGAATTGTATCCTTTTCTTTTTGGTTTCTTACGGACGAGCGGGCAGCGGAGAGAAGACAGAGCATAAGAGATGCCGGAAATTCTCCTCCTTTTTTTAAATTAACAGCATTTGCGAAATAAGTTTTGCGACAGAGAATATTTGTTAGAATCTTCAGTTAAATTTCAGTCAAATCTCAATACTTATTCTTAAATTTAGATGATTCTTATGATTCTTCCTTCGCTTGTTCTGTCTTGTCTACAGCCACGAAATATTTGGCACAAAAAGTCTTTCCTCCCCGAGAACGTAATTTAGTAATTAGAAGTGGAATCAATTTTTTTATAGACGCAATGTATATTCGTACACTCGAAGATGTTTAAAAATGATTAACGATCTCTCCAAAAGATGCTAAATTACCAGATCCTAAATTAACCAGAATTAAGTAATTATATATCGTTTAAAATCGTATGCGATGTTTATCATATTTTTTTTACGATCGAAAAAGGCAACATCAATGTTCACATTTGCGGATCAGCCTGTGAAAATTAAATCGGAAGAAAAATCGACGTTGAAAGGGAGACACCAATCGCGATCTCTACGCGCGTATCTAACGCGTGATCACATGTAATTACAGCGGCGATCATCATGCGACACACGTGACAAATAGAGAACGTGCACGTTGACGATATCACGCGACTTCTTGCTTGTCTTGTCTGACGAAATCGATCTTGGACGTTAAACTGTCTTCTCTTTTTTTTTTTTTTTTTTTTTCGTTTCACCATTCAGACAGCATCAGGCGATATTTCTCGTCGCGGATAACTCGATTCTTCGATCTAATTCCATAAAAGTGCATTGAGCATTTGCATCTTTTTTATTTCGACCTCTTGATTTGCAAAAGTTCTTTTACATGCACTTTCGATTATTCTGCGTACGCGTACATCGTTCGCGAATGTCCCGCTCATGTTTTGGAAATGTGGGAAAAATCGTTTCGACTATCGAGAGGGATACAGTCTCACTCGCATGGTGATTTTCGGCGACGAAGCACAGAAGGAACAGCTCGATAGTTAATTTAGTTTCTCGTAACTGTAATTTCCTGTTTTTTTAACGCCAAATTTGAGATTCGTTTAACGACCGAGAGTGCGTCGACTTGCCGCGAAATGTAACCGACTGTCGTTGAATGAATGTCGAATGTACTAGGACATTATTATAGCTTGCGTTATTTTTAATCTGCCAGAGGCTGTGACGATTTCAAGGGGCATCTACGACTGTACTGCATATGGTGATATTATTCTTATTCGTAGAACGTGTATTCCCAACGATTATCCTTCGAGGAAAGGACGGGGTAGCGCGCAAGGCGATCGGAAAGTTTACATGCATATTGTATCGCTCGGAATAAGTAGATAAGATTAATTCGACTTGACATCTTAAGTCAAATATGATTGTGCAGAAAAATTTGATAATTTTGATTGAAGAGTTCAATGAAAAAAAATAAATCCAAATGCAAATCCAAAGTTTGCAAGTTTGTTCATTTTGGAAATTTTGGATATTGTATCTAAAAGAGATCAATCGTGGACTTGGTTTCTTGTTCCATTGAATTCTTTTTTTAAATTTGATCGTCAGATATGGAAAAATTGTTGTATACAACGATATAAGATAAAGATGAGTTTACTTAGAAATATAAGAGAGATGATTCTAGGAGAACATAATATTTTCATCTTTGTATGACAATCATGAAACTTCGCAGCACCGAGAAGATCACGAATCGCCGTCCTACCTCGAAAGACATTTACGTTTTCGATAATACAAGCGTATGTAATAAAAAATAATTTTACTGAGAGAAGGTGCGATTACGTATACGATAATATGTGACAAACGAAAATCTGATTTATTTAATGATCGATCTTAAAAATAATTTTAATGAAAGAAAGAGAAGAAATATGTATACGGTGTGACAAATGAAAGTTCGATTTGACGACCGATTTTAAGTTTGAAAGAAGAAAAATGAATGAATAAGCATATTGTCGAAGGAGAAAAAGCTGAAGTAAATAAGTCAGGCGAGTCGAACGTTGTGAAAAACTCGCCTCTGCGATCATTCACTCGAAAAGTTAATATCGATTCCTTTTGACCGACAATGTTGATTTTCTATTATGTATTGAGTGATCTCTAAATCGCATGCCATTTACCTCGTCACGCATATCTAGCGTAAGAGCACGACTCATTCCGAAGTATATACTATTATGCTTTATCACCGAACTTGTTTTAGCGCTTATCCCGATTAACCGAATCTCCCTTCTCTGTCCGTATCGTAAATATCAATATTTATCAATTTGCGAAGGAACGGCGAACAGCCAATCCGGAGTAAGTTGACACGGTCCGTCTCGTCGCGATTCGCAAGGGAAGTTCGTTAACATGCAAATTCGAAAAAGTGAATATATATTTCGTCGAAAAATTACGCGTCACCAAAATCGCGATGATTTTTTTTTACTTATAATTTTTTTAATGTAATTAATATTCCTCGTATGTTTTTATCTTATAGAGACATATAAAGAGGAAATTCGAAAAATTATTTTATCGCTGTAGATCATTTGATCTCAACGAAAACTACGCATGAATGTAACGTATGAATCTTTTTCGAATTTACAGTTCGTCGAATTTTCTTTATCAATCATAATGTCAATCATAATCTTCATGTGCGCTCCTCGCCTATTAGTCGCCAGATCTCAGATCATTGAATAACGCGACAAGGTGATTATAACCGCCAAGGTCGTAAGTTATTGATTAGATGCCAATTATCGTAATCGTTTATTATTGATCATCATCGAGATCATTATTATGTTTCATTTGCCGCGTTAGCGCCGTCATCATCATTTTTATTATTCCTCATTCCCGTCACCCCCGTGTCATCGTCATAACGAGATGTGATTTGTATCGCTAACGTTGCTGCCCGAGCTTGCTTGAGCGCATTTCGACCGCGCTTCCCGCGTTCGTCTACTTTTGCACTATTCTTCCTCCTCTCTCGCCTTTTCGTTTAGTTTTCGGCAATCTCCCTCGCACGGACCGTAATGTAGCGTGAGGGTCGAGAGACGATGAAGCGACCGAGCGAAATCATATAAATGTATAAACGGGAAAGAATAAAATCTCTGACATGGCGCACGGTAAGATAATCAACTGTATCGAGCAGCCAATATCGGAAGGCAGATACGTGCAAAGAATCAAACAATGATGTTAGATAGCTCCGAGTCTACCGACAGGTATGGAGAGGGATATTCGGGCGGCGTATGATTGATGCGAAACGAGATATATGCGAAGTATAAACGAATATCCGTTTCCGATATCCCTCCCGTATTGTATCTGTCGATAGACTGTTTATACGATTTCATCGTGTCCTCGGTGTCCCGACACGGCTCGGTTCGGTCCTTCAGCGCGGAGAGAGACGCGGTTAGCCCTTTTTGCTGCGGCTGCGAACGAGAGACAACTCAGACGCTCCGGCGAGAGGAGCGGCGATATATACTACTACTACTACTACTACTACTACTATTACGTAGGGCACAGGCGATGTGATTTGTATATTGAGATGTACTTCAACTTAAACAACGGTAAAACAATGAAAAAAAACGTTCCCAAGAAAGAAGCGTACTGTTCTCTTCGTTGCACCACCACCACGACCCACCCACACCTCGTTCCAATTTTCGTGGCGTTCGGGGGAGGACGATTGCGAGGACGATTAATCTCAATGATCTTAATTCTACTTGGCGTTACACTTTTACACGCACGGAATGTGCACGTCCTATTAATAATATCACTATTAATTTCTTCTGACAGATGATTCACACGATTACTTGCTTAATGTTACTAATGGTGCGTATATTGATCGCGCGCGTCTAACGCAACCTTCGTGCTGACTGATATTATATACTTTCACGAGGACTTTACATCCGCGAACATTAATCTTTCGGTTTATCTCTGAAATACAGAACGAACTCCTTTGGTTACTGTATTATTATAAGCATTAGAAATTAAAAAAAAAAAAAAGAAAGAAAATCGATCACGTACGCTAAGTATGTAAGTATTCCTTCCATTTGTGTGATCGATAAGCGTTTCTTCAAATAAGAAATAATTAAAATAAAAGATTAATAGACCTTAAATCGTCTATCTTTTTCACATTTGTCCGCTGCTTGGAGCTCGGATCAGATAACTTCCGCAGTTAGAAGGTTAAAGAGCAAAGATAGCATTGCGAAAGATAAATTGTGCGAAATATTAGATATAACTTGCGTGACAAAATGGTACACGTGTCTATTTCTCTAATCATATTTAATGTTGCCGATCAATCACTCAGTATCGCAATCAGATACTGAAGAAAATTCTGCTTCTTTCTTTTGCTATCGTCTCGATAGATATTCATCTGTTTCCTCGCATACAAACAGTTTCAAAGAAGAATACTCTATTAATCAATTTCAAATAAAATAGATACCATCACATCTGGGTTTTGTCTCTGCAAAAGTACTTGACACAATTTTTTTATCTCGTTAAAAATATTTCATAAATATTTCGATGATATTTTCAGATTCATTTTAAAAAGCTCGATGAAATTTAAACGTGTAATTTTGCAATAGATATAATAAAATTACAGAACATACCTGAACTGCCAAATTTTTTTGCTCATTAAGAGCTGCGAGATATAAAACGATGTAAAACAAATTATCGAATGAACGTTATATCGATAAAAACAAGTGGATGAATCTAAAGTCGTGTGCATGCCTCATTATCAATCGTCGAGTCTAATTTTTCACGAAATAAAAATTACGTACGTTTTGTTAAAAATGAGCGAAGTCAAAATGAGCGAAGTCAAATGAGCGATGTCACTCGAGCCGAATAGAATCTTTGAAGAGATACCTGCGTGGATCGACGGCGCCCGCGCGTACAGAATGTCGTCGGGGTTTCCGTCAACCCTCTTCCCTCCTTTGGACTCGGATGGTCGCGTGACACGCTGACATAAAACGGCTCGTCACTACGTTATTGTCGTCCGGATCAGGATGACTGGACGTATGTCAGTATCGATTCACCTGGCTGCTGGTTATGCCGCATCGCACGAAGCATTCCCGGCCGTGGGGAAATCACGAGAGGGTCCGCTGATTCGAGATGCGCGCGGATAAGATGTAGTCGGAGTTACCGTTGAAGAATGCACAGCTTCCTGCATCTCTTCCTCGGCACGTTTACATTCGCGACGTCCTTTTGGATCATCTACGGACAAGGTAAGCGAGTCAACAATTACCAATAACTTTACTCAATCTTTTGGCTTTCACCAAAGTTTCATGTCTACGTTTATAATTATTATTAATTACGTTTATTACATAATCCCGCCGAAATTGAGAATCTGCGGGAAGAAGATAGACATCTCATTAAACGTAAATAATTAAATTCATAACAAACAGTATTTTAATTTAAGGAAATTAAATTGTGAAATAATAAATTGTAATTATATTGTATTGACAGTTTGTTATTTACATTTCTCTCCTTGACGTTGATAATATCGATGATGATACTTATGATGATTACTTATTTGAGTGATTGATATTTTAATATTAGACATTGATGCTCGAGAAGTAGCACTTAAGCTTGGGACGCGCATCCTGCAGTTTGACATATCATTAACGTTAATTATGAAAGATAATATTATGCTTTCAGATGATACGACAACCGACGAAAGTATCGTAGAGGCAACGATACCATCAGAAATGAAAATAACATCTTGGAACGTAAGTCTAACAGTTATAAATGTCTCGTGAATGATTGAAATAAGGAATAATATTTAAAAAGTTAAATTTTACCTCTGGAAAAAGAAATAAAATCGGTTTGTAGAAAAATCCCTAAATTTATAAATATTTACATATATCTCGCGCGATGTATGCGAGCAATCTTTATCAAATAATACGTACAATCAGAGCAACTAACAATCACAATAACAAGAACTTTAATTGTTTATCTTGCCCGAGGAGAAAATGACGTTTAGTTGGTCACTGTTATATTAAGGATAACGACGAAATATTTGATATAACAGAGACCAACTTAACACTATTTGTCTATTCTGAAGTGGTTCGGAAATAGTCTCATGCTTAGTTAACTAATTGGACGGAACAGTTTATTCGATCAATGTATAATATTTACTTCATCGCAAGTAAATATTATACATTGTCCAAAGCTGCACAAAAGATATTTTAGCGCAAAGAAGATATTTTAGTCGAAGACTGATAAATAATTGAATTCTGAAGATTGAAAAGATTACAATAACGCATCACTGTCACTGCAGATTAAAAACTGATTGATATTTTTTTTAACAATAATACGGATGTCATTGTATATATGCTGTGTGTAATACCTTGTACACGACATTTGTTTGGTCGCATCCTTCATCGTGACATTAAGTGTACATTTTTATGAGTCCACTTGATGATGAGCGATAAGGATATAGCGCAAATGTCACGATATAATTCTAAGTATAACATCCTCAACCAGAAGAAATATTTGCTGCTACGCTTTTACCGCGCAGTAGAAAAAGCCTACGCACTTCTTTCACAATGATCGTTTGACTGCACTTGTGTGTCTGTTAAGCATGTTAATCAATATCAAATTTATCTTCAGTGGCCCTTACAAATTTCAATTATCATGATGTTAAAAATAGACGTATGAAACATAATAAAACGTAAATTTATATTAATTAATTTTTTTTACGTGTCTCGTTTATGAAAATTACACCGAATGCATGCAAATGGCCACTTACGAAAAGAAAAAAAAAATACCTTCACCGTACGTGAAACGTTTGAAATGACAATCCACCGCATGATTCATTGATTACCGACAAAATGTCCTACTTTTTCATATTGACGGTATGAAAAAACCTAGAATTACAAATAAGACACAACACGCGACATAAAATCATCAACATATTTCACACGTGAACTGTATCCTTCAGCAACGAAAGCTAATTCTGCCGTGTAGTATCTTCCACGAATAATTTTCTATGAATGATTTACACGACCATATCATTGTCCCCTTGAAATAACTATATTCTTCTGAATAATACATAAAATACGAGGACACATAAAAAAATCAATTATCGTAGGTCAAAACGCGAGAAAAAGCGTTCGTAAAAGAAGTAATAAATATATAATAAAGAAAATGGAAAATGGAAAATATACATATAACATATATGAAAAGAAAGAAAGAAGTATATTAATTCATAATTCATCTCTTCTCTTTTTGATACTTTTCAGAAAATTCTAGGTTACAAAAATATTAATTATTATATTTATTATAATTTTAAATAAAATTTCAATGTGATTTTTGAAGAAAAATAATTAATTATTTCCATTTACGCGCATCTTCAAAATCACGTTGAAATTTTAATAAATATAATAATTAATATTTTTGTAACATAAAATTTTTTGAAAAATGTCTACAAAAAGAGGAGAAATGCCATAAAATTCATGATACAGGAAGGATCAAAGCGAATGATTATTGTGACGACTGTATAATCGGAAAAAATACCTTTATGGCAAAAACGACATCGCGTGTTTTGCGTGACGCGGTAAACAAAGAATGCTAATCGAGTAACTAAGCGTGCTGTTAGGGCTGTTGTATTACGCAAGTATATCGTGCCTAATAATAAATATTATGTCAGGTTTACCACTATATATCTCCCGATATACGTCGCGCATCTTGCAATCTTTATAGCACTCATTAACGTGTTCGTGCAGCCCGATATTGAACATTAAAACGTACAAACGTTCGAGTTGAATATGCAACTAGCCGCGCACGAAACGATCATAACGTTGTGATAATAAACGCGCAAGGATAATTAAAACATCGTCGAGGGTGCTTAGACGCCACCATGAGATTTGATAACGATATAACATACGCAATTGCATAGAAGAGCAATAATCAGCTCATTAGCTCTTAAGTATAATCTTTTCTCTTTCTTAAAGAATGTTTACGTTTATTTTCTAAATAATGAGATTATTTATGATCCATATGAATTAATAAACATTACATTAAAAACATTTATTAATTTTATTCCTCGGAAATTTGGAAAATTTCTATGTGCACTAATGTTCGTTAATTTATGAAGATCATAATTTTTTGTCGAATGCTATATGAACGTTAATTAAAATTGTTATAGGACATGCCGTTTTCCGGATTGGTGAAAGTAAACGGAACATGGGTGGGAAAAGGCTACGCGTTTTCCTTGCTTGAGCTGCTTAGTTCCAAATTAAATTTCACATACACAATCGTGCCACCTAAAAAGCATGTGCTGGGCAATAGCCGAAGCGGAATATTGAGTTTACTTTACGAGAGGGTAAGGCTTTTCTCCAAATCGTTTTTAATTCTCATGCATTAATTAGCGGATTATTTTAATAATATTGAATATAGATTGAATTTTTATTGGATGGAAAAATGGAGTAAGCGATATCAATATTTAAATTAAATGGTAGTAAGCGATATCAAATTAAACGGTTTAAATTAAACGGTACAAGAAATAGGTATTTCTCATTCGAACAGAAAGTAGACATGGCGGCGGCCTTCTTGCCTATTATGCCGGAGTTGCGAAAGTTTTGCACGTTCAGCGTGGCTCTCGATCAAAGCGAATTGTCGGTATTGATGAAACGACCACCAGAATCGGCGACCGGTTCGGGTCTGCTGGCGCCGTTTGATCGAACCGTTTGGTTACTGGTGTTGACCGCGGTAGTTTCCGTAGGACCTATTATCTATGTCTTCGCCACGTTCAGGTTCGTGAGTGTCGAAAAATACAAAACGTATGACGAAACGCACCCCAATTCTCAATATTATCAATATTTTTCTAGGGCGAAGTTGTGGAACGATCCCAAATCCGAGAACTACACCCTTTTCTCTTGCGTATGGTTCGTGTACAGTTCCTTGTTGAAGCAAGGGACGAATATAATCGCGACGACAGGTACGAGATTGCCGTGTCGTCCTCTCGTGACATCTTGATTGCCACGTCTTATTTACGCAAACGACATTCCACATTCCCTAAAGACCTATGTCACTTACTATATATGAATCCATGCTACCCATGCAACCTAATTCTACATTTAGCTCAATAAATTAAATGAAAATCAGGAATCTGAAATTACATCCGACTAATATGACTTCTTTACTGTAATAGTTAGAGCATTAATCTTTTTTTATATGACAATTCGAAAGTAATGAATGCCGAGTGTTATATCACTATCATTGTGTGTGCTATCCAATTAAAACGAATTTATATCGGTTACAGATTCGACACGAATTCTGTTCGCTACATGGTGGCTATTTATTTTGGTTCTAACGTCTTTCTACACGGCGAATCTTACCGCATTTCTCACGAAGCCGCAGTTTACCTTGCCGATTAACAGCGTGCAAGATATGGTGCACAAAAGTTACCAGTGGGTAACTTATAAGGGACGTGATCTTGACTTTTTACTTTCTCAAGTAAGTCCTCTCGCGAGCATTCATTTAATCATAAAATTTTTCAAGACAAAATTTAGAGATAAACAAATTGTTAAATTTGTCAGCCGATATTAATTACTTCTTTTCTATGATCCAAAACTGTTAAGGACTTACAAGCGTTCGTCATTCACAATCGATGAATTGTAACAATAAAATAAAATAAAAAAAATTAAAAACTATATATAAATAAAAATAAAACAAAAAATAAAATAAAACAATATAACAATCAAATAAATCATTACTATGTTTTCAGTATGAATCAGAAGAGTTACGTTTCTTAAATACCACAAGATGGAAGAATCATGATATTATATCTTATGAATATCCAGTTGAAGAAATTTTCCGAGTCATAAAGAAGAGTAAGTACTTTTTATATATGATCATCATCTCGAAAACTAATAGGTATATAAAAAATACAATGTGTTATTCTCCAGATAAACTATTCCTCGGGGATACCCATTATCTTCAAAGTTTGATATTTAAGCATTACATCAATAAAACTCGTGAACACAAGACGCACCAGATGAGATGTACCTACGTCATAATGCCCAGCGCGATTGTCGTAACCAGTAAAGCATTCGCCTTCCCTGTGAACTCTACTTTGGAGAAACCAATTAACAAAGAGTAAGTGATGAATTTTTATATCGGAAAAATTATAAGAAAATCTAGTCAGAAACTGGCTAAAAGTAGTCACTAACTAGATTGTTTTTTAGATATAAATATCTATCCTTAAATTAGTTTTCGCCCGATTTATATCACGTATTATCAGCCGCGATTTAATTGTATCTCGAGAAAAAGACTGAATGTATTTCAGATTGATGGCTCTACTGGAGGCTGGTATAGTAAAGCGTGAGAAACTGAAGAATCTGCCATTAGCGCAAATGTGCCCACTGGATCTTCGATCCAGCGAAAGACAACTGTCGTTCTCCAATTTATCCTTGACATTTGAGGTGATAGTCGGTGGATACACAATCGCGATAATGGTCTTTATTCTTGAGATAACGATCAGACATATGGCGAACTTCTACAAGCGACGAAAGAAGACCGGCAGATGGTCCTGCTGCAAGTGGAAACGGAGATCAAAGGAATCCGTGATCCCGCAATTGGTATACACCAAGAGTCATCCGCTCAATAAACAGGCCAATTTGCAAAAGATAAATCTTCAGTCGCCATATCCGCACAATGTCCTATACGATATCGCTCAGAGAAAGAAGCATTGCATTAACGGCCGCGATTATTACGTCGTGATGGATCGCTACGGTGATCAAAGATTGATACCCATTCGCACACCGTCCGCATTTCTATTTCAGTACACGGCGTAGTAGAGATACATTTCGGATATTCAGCGAATCGCGAAAAATCATCCATGAATTTATTCGAAATTTCAGCAGTTGAAATTAAATGAACCGCACATCAAATGTTTATGGCTTGAAAATTGTATAGTCATTAATCATTGCTGTCATTTGTCGATATAATCTAATATCATTCGCGAAATAACGTTTCCAATTATTAGAGAACGATAAATCTATGTACATTTTACATTAAGATATTAATTCTTTTTTACATGAGATGTCTTCATGAATATAATATTATATAGAGAAATAGGCAGACATATGTGATAGTGAAAATATAATTAAAAAATAAATAAGTTAGAAGAAACTGAGAATACGTCTTTGCTTATCAAAAAATGCTTATCAATGAATTCTTAATTTTCATAAAAAACTATAGAAAAATAAATTAAATAAAAACAATGCTGTTGTCAATTGAATACTATAATTTTTCTTGTCTTCCTATTATCATATTATAAATATGTTAATGTATTTTTATTTAATTTAGATAAATTTTACATATATCGCATTTATTTTAATTAAAAAAATAAATTTTTATTACATTTATGTATTATGATCACGATAGACATTATATATTCATGATAGACATATTATATTTTTTAAATATTGCATAAAATTAAAATTTTTTAATGATTATTGTATATATCAGATATTGTATATATCATTATGTACATGACAAAATAAATATATAAACAAAATGTATTTATTTTTTTCTATTTAAATAAATTCTTGTTTTTATTATATATAAAACATAATTAATAATTTTTATTTGTTTGCAATTAAATTGTTGCATGCATATTACTTCAAAATTATAATAAAAAATATTACTAAATTTATTGATATATAGCAGCGAAGTTTGAATGTTAATCTGTAATTCAAATTAAAGTGCCCAAAGTAATCACTATTTAAGAGAAAATTCATTACGCGCATTAAATGTTATTTACTTTTAAATATACATTTAAATAAAAAATGTTAAATATTCACTCTCATTGATAATGAATTACTACTTTCATATATGAATATTCCCATTACTTCATTCACATTATTTCTTTTCTTTTTTTTCAATCCATTGCGCAAGTAATCTTACGATCGCACGAAATACACTTGACGGATTTGTGACCATCACCTTACTCAAGCATGTATTTTTTATAATATTTAATTATATAAACAAATTAATTGAAATAATATATAGTTAGAAGTAATACGATATAATTAGAAATGATCATATTATCTTCTATATGATTATTCTTTAGTTAAAGATTTAGATAAAGTTTATAAGAATCTATAAAGCCATTTCCATTAAACATAATTAATGAAAATGACTTCCTAGGCTCTTATAAATATAATTAATTTAATTTAATTCGTGTTTTAGTAGAAGCAAATCAAATTTGTTCCGAAAGATTTTAAGATGGCTAACTCTGTCATCATCATCATTATATATAGTAAAAATTCAAATCATTATATATAATAAAAATATGATTAAAAAAACAAACTTAATCGAAGATAAGCGCAGCTGAGTGTATTCGTATATTTTCGGAATTCGGATTCGGGCTTTTTCTTTTTTGCATTTAGTAATATCTGCTTTTTTGTTAAGGACAAAGCTAATTTCAAGTTAAAAGTAATAAATAACTCAATATTATAAATATTAAAACAACATTAAACAACATTAAAGAATAAAATGAAAAAACAAAGCGTAATCATCTAATAATCAATCAATCAAAAATTACGCAAACAGAGAAAACAAACTCTGTTTTCTGTAGCTAAACTAGTGTTAAGTGCAAAATTCGTTGTACTAAGCAATAAATAGAATGGATACATATTTCAAGTTTAAAAAAGTGAGATAGAAAATTTTAGTGCAGCCATCTTCAATGAACCGAAACCTCATTCAAGCATTCCTGGTGCAGTCCAGTGCAGAAACATAACACAAACCTAAAAACATGTTTGTCCGACCTGAAAGTCTGCCAGATTCACCGAGCTCGGGTAATTAATCTGTTTTTTGTAGCTAAAAACTAGTGTACACTTGTTATATTTAAAATGAATTAGATATATATTTGAAATTTGATAAAAGAGCGAGGTAAAAAGTTTAGTGCAGCCCAGTGCAGGAACAGAAAACAAACCTCTAATGTTGACGTTCGCGCCACGTTCACATAGTGACTTGCGGATAGAAGTCAGGTGATCGAGTGTCGCGACAAGATGCGAGTTGTTGTCTGACCGAGTCTGAATTTCATCATGAGCCCCTGTTGGCTGGAACCTTGTATTCAGCTTCCTCTCTCGGAGGAAGAACTAAAAGAGAGCGTGGATAAAGCGAAAGATTGGGCGCTTATACATGGTGATTATATTTTACTTATATTACTATATAAGTAGTTGCAACCTAATAACCAAGCATATGACTGTTTGTTTGTGATAATTATATCTTGTTCCTGATAAGATGTGTAAAACATATCCGTGATAGACATGATGATTGCTGTTCGTTTTTTTTTTTTTTTTTATAAATTAAAGAATTTAAGGCAAAGATGAATATAAAAATAATTACAATGATTGAAATGTTTTTATATAAATTTATGTGACAATATTTTGTAACATTTTTTTAGGAATATCGATGCGATCCAAGAAGAATTTTACCAAGGACCAGGTGCAAATATTGCCCATCACATTATTGCCATCGAGTTTTCCCAGGAAACCCTTTTTGGTTGTGAAAGATGTACAAACTCTATTGAATGAGCTGATCCATAAAGTTGCTCATGATAAGGAATTTCTTACAAGTAGTTTAAAAAGGTACTAGAGATATTATAACTGTAATAGAAGTTTCTTATGATATACAATTATATTATTTGATTTAGCACAATTCAAGCTGATGTGTTCACAGCGAAGCTGTTCCACATATACGAGACAGTGCATAGGAAAGGTTTCAATCAAGTATGTAACATTAAATATAGTTGAATCTCTCTAATAGCGATAAACTTTGAGTTAGAGGTTTTATCTTTTAAACTTGAATTGTAGAATTCTTTGAGATATACAGGTCTATTTTGAAATAATTCAAGTTGAATATAAGTCAAATTGAATATATATTTGAGAAGTAATTAGTGTGCTTGTAAATATTTAGAATTAATATTTTTCTTTGATTTATAAAAGTTTTTTTTAAAAATGTATAACATTTTAATTTATAAAGTTTTTCAAGTTAGGGAGGTTAGAATTAGAGTGGTTTAACTGTAGTAATATTGCGATGTCAATAAAAAGATTTGATGTTAAACATTCTATGAAAATATAAAACATTTTATTTTTCTCTTTGGTATTGTAGACTATAAGCCTTGGATTGTTGAGGTCAGATTATCTATTACACGATGATGGCTGTAAAATAAAGCAAGTTGAAATAAATACAGTAGCAAGTAGCTTTGCAGCTTTAGCTACTCTTACATCCAAATATCATAAGTAAGTATAACGTAAAAATATTGTAGGAAAATTTTATGATTTGAAAAATGTTTATGCTGTTTTAATGAGAATAAATTTATTTTATAGATACATATTAGGAGAATTGGGATATGCAAAAGAAACATATGAACAAGTAAGTTAATTATTCATTACAACATTTTTAAAAAACAATTGTAGACATACTATTTATTTTTACTATGAAAGGTGTTGAATTTATATTTTTGATATTTTATGATACTTGGATATTTTACAATATATCATTGATTATTCTTTAGAAGATTCCAGAAAATAATGCTCTTACTGGATTCTGCAAAGGATTAATATTTGCATGGGAATTGTATAATAATCCAGAGTAAGTTAAGCAAATTTTACTTTATTAAATTTTATATTTCTTATCAGTAAAATTAATAAATAAATATATTTTAGAGCTGTTATGTTATTTGTTGTTGAAGATGTGACTTATAATATTTGTGATCAAAGGATTCATGAATACCAAATTCGTCAATTATGTCCTAAGATTAAGATTATTAGAAGAAGTTTAACAAATTTAGCGTCGGAAGGAATAAAATTAGGACCAAATAAGGAATTAATCATGTAAGTTGCAATCTAAATTACAATTTATATTATAAATTACATCAAAATTTTTTTTTATATGACACAAAACATTTCAAAAGAAAAAAGTATTTTTCAAGTTTTTATAAGGAATCTAGAAATAAGTACAATAAAGGTTAAATTCCATAAAACGCATATATGCGCGCGTTTTGTTAGAATTATATCTGACATGAATTATAGATAAATGCGTGCATATGCACTTTACAGAATCTAGCCAAAAAATACAGATATTGAATTTGAAATATTGAATTATTTCAATTGTTTCAGTTCAAATATGATAGTGGCTGTAGTTTACTATCGTTCTGGTTATGAACTTGAAGCTTATCCTACAGAAAAGGAATGGGATATTAGATTATTAATAGAGTGTTCTCGTGCAATAAAATGTCCATCAGTACAATATCATTTAGCTGGTACTAAGAAAGTATGTAATTTAAGTTTTATTTATCAATAAGAATAATGTATAACAATTCAAACTTTTTGCTATTTATGCAAAAATTGTATAGTATTGAAATAATCAATATGAAGCATAACAATTTATCATTATTAATATTTTTTAAAATAATTTTTAATATAATAAACTGAATATATAATAAATATATATCTATTGTTGATTAAAATTTAAAAAATATTTTGAAAATTATTTTCTTTTTAGGTACAACAATCTTTAGCTCAGCCTAATGCACTGAAAAAGTTTTTAAAAGATGAATCGTCTATTATTAAAGTGCAAGAAATATTTGCTGGTTTATACACATTAGATTTTGTAAGTAAGTTATTAGAACAATTATAATTATATGGAGCACATATTTTAACATATATAATAATTTTGTAATTTAAATTAATATTTGTTTACATAATAGAATGATGACGGAGAAAAAGCAGTAGAAATGGGTATAAATGAACCAAATAAGTTTGTTCTCAAACCACAAAGGGAAGGAGGAGGGAACAACATATATAATGAAAATATAAGAACATGGTTAAATTCAATGAAGAAATCACAAGAGAGAACAGGATGGATTCTCATGGATCGAATCTATCCTCCTTTACAGAAAAATTATCTGATACGTGCTGCCAAGGAACCATCATTCGAAGATAACATCGATTTATCAGATGTTATAACAGAACTCGGTATATATGGAGTAATAGTGGGGTAAGAATCATTTGCATTTTAATAATCATGTTATTTGCTAATAAAAGTGTAAATGATATTAATAGAGCATTAGTATAACATTCTATTATATCTGTTTTTAGAGATAGCAATGAAATAATGTTAAATGAACAAGTTGGACATATTCTAAGAACCAAAGCATCAAGTGAAGACGAAGGCGGAATAGTGGCAGGTGTTGGCGCTCTTGACAGTCCCTATTTAATTAGCTGAAATAAAGTGTTTTAGGAAAATAATTATAATTAAATCAATTATAATTTTTAAATATAAACTACACCAAGTATTCACGATTGTTTCTTTTATCATCTAAATGATGGGCATACAAATATTGATCATGGATTATTAAAAATCAAATAAGACTTTGGCATACTTTCATTCATGTGTCTGATGGAACTGCATTTGTAATATTTCTCAAATGATTTAAAATTTTCAGATTTTTTTCTTTTTTATAATATGGAAATAAAAATAAAATATTATGTAAAATAAAATAGTGTATAACGATAAAAAAATTTCAAAATCAATTTTTATAAAGTATAAGATAATGATTCCACTGTGATGCAAAACTATACAGGAAATCTTTGATGTTATATTATAAAAAAGACGAAGTTTTTATGTACATAATTTTTTATTTTTTATATGTAATTTTTAATTAGATTTCTACATAAAAAAATTATATTGTGTGTGTAATTTATATTTTACACAAAAATTGTACAAATATATTTTGTGAAGCATTATAATAAATATTTATGAGAATATATGATAAATATTAATGCTGATGCAAATGTATGTACAAATTTTTTGTAGCCTATACTGTATAAAAATTATAATATTATAATTACATTGCTTGTATGTGCTACAAATTTAAAATAATGTATGTAAAAAAATTAAATGATTATAAATATATCTTATATGACAATATTTTATATAGCTACATTTTTCACTTTTCACTATTTATTCGAAATAAAAAGTATTGTGTAGGTTAAAAATTGCTTGTGCTTGAAAAGAATCATGATTATCCATATTATAATGTGCTAATTTTCTGCTATTTGTTGCTAACGATTAAATTATTGACTTTCTTGTGTGTGCATGTGTGTATGTATGTATACATATAGACATATCTACACATGCTAATAATGTTTTCGTAATAAACATTACGAAGTATTGTGATAAACATTACTTGTAATAAACATTACTTCGTATGTGTAATAAATATTACGAAAATATCTTTGAATATCATAAAGGTTCTTATTCTATAATTTTCGGCATTCATTTTGGAGATGTTTTTTTATTTTAATTAAATTATTTCAAAGGTACGAAATGAATGAGTGGATCTTGTTTTTCTACCTCTTCAACATTTCTTTCTTCCGAAGAGTTTCCTGCGATACTTTTCATCGCGGTCTACAAAATGATGTTGAATATTTAAATCTGTAATGACTTATTACATAATTGCATAAATTACATTCAATTATAATAAATAATTATTTCATATTATTTTAATATAATTTGCATGATTATAAAAAAATTTAATATTTAATATATAAAAAAACATTACAATTAAACAAAAATAGCTATGCGAGACAATGTCACGCATTCAAATATAAAATAAAATTATAAAAATTACTATCTACCTTGTACAATTTATCATCCATAGGATTAATATATTCGTGTGCTCCAGGAGATAAGGAGTCTGAAGCTATGGATTGGAGTGTTACTTCGACTTCGTCTCTTCGATCATATGATGGATTTTGGAAGCGAATGCTGCTAAAACTATTACACATAAAATTAATACATTGCATATTTTTATATGTAAATAACTATATATTAAAAAAACTAATTCCTAGTTAAATCTAACAATTTTGAACGTACCCAACATCACTTGATTTAAATTTTAACTTATTTTTCTGATAATAATAATAACCACACATCATCAAAACAGCAATGAACAATACGACTAATGTTACGCTATAAACGTTGCTTAAATAACGTGTATTTTTAAAATAACTTTTAGCAGGAACTGTTATTTCGCCACTCAAGCAAGTAGTGTTTGGATTTATCAATTCGCCATTTGCACAAATGCATATTGCGTTATGCTTCTTTGGAATGCACATGTAGTCACAATTTTGCTCGTCGCAAGGATTCTTAACTATCAAACAAATGCAAAATTAATTTCGCTTTGTAATTTAGTTACAATTAATGTATACAAACAGAATTTTGAGATTATTTACTTTTAGATGCTATTACCAACCTTTCGATTGTCTAGAGATGTGTAGAATGGCGAAACTTTTTTGAATATTATTCTTTCCTACGTTCAATATTTTGCATGATTTGTCCCCATATAGTTTACAATTTTGTAATTGACCATCCGAACTCATTAACCAATAAAGCGACTGTTCATAAATACTGATGTCTAAAGGATGATATATCTGAAAAAAAGAACAAAAAAAATATTATTTTGTTAAAGTAAAGAATATAATATATATTGTAGCCACGCAAAACGTTAACATTTTATACAATATTTTTTATAATAAAATATACTGATCTATTAACGTACTGTTGTTCTTAAGAATGTGCTACGTTGACTTCCATCGAAATTAGAAGATTCGATTGTTTTTCGAAAACTGTCCGACCAATATAATTTAGATTTTACAAAATCGATCGCCATTCCACTCACAAAGCTTATATTTTGAAAAGCGATAATCTTCACATCGGCACCTGTCAAATCTGTCCGATATATTTTGCTGAATGGTTCATCTTTTTGCCAAGTGATTTGAGCCCAAAATAACCAGCTGTAATATCAAGAGATATTAGAGAATTTTTCAATTCTATAGAAATTTAATGACAGATTACTGATCTCCATTAGATTGACAAAAACAAAGAAAAAATGAAATAAGAAAGAAAGAAATACTTGTTAACTGGATCAACTGCGAGAGACAACGCTTTCGCTTGATTTTCTAACCGGACTAGCGTTGCACATCTTTGTTTCTCCAAGTCGCATACCTTTACATAAAATTAAGAATAATTAAATTATATTTTTGTATTCAAAGCACAGTAGTTTCTTGTTTACTTGATGAATTGAAAAGAAATATACCTTAATCGTACTTGAAAGATTACTATCACCGACGTAGACATGATTAGTAACCCAATCGACTACGATTGCATGAGGCTGCCCGACAAACAGAGTTGCATTTATCTTTCCTGTTTTAATGTCCATTTTTTTAATAGTACCAAATTCACCTGTAATTAATTTTTTCTCAATATTTAGTTCTCTTCAAATTAACACAATTCTTTTGAAAAATGCTTCCATTAAACGGTTTTTCGGGATTTTTGGGAATTTTTATGTTTGTTTAATCAATTGTATTATATATTATAATAATTAATTTAAAACATAACATTGAAATAAAGACTAACTGTTACTCCAATAAACAGAATCGTCAATGGCGTTCACGTCGAGACTGCTTACACTCAAACCAGATAACGAATGAATCACTTCAGTTGACTCTAAGTCAGACGAAATCTTCCTGATATCAATATCAGTAGCGGTGATTAATTCCATTGGCGGTCCTAAATAATCGTCAAATGATATTTATTACTTTAAATAACTAGTACGAACATTTAACTAAGATCACTTACCGACAGCTTTGCAAGAAACTTTGTCCTTTCGGATAACATATCCTTCGTGGCACAAACATCTGTAAGAACCTGGAATATTAACACAAATTTGTGAGCAAACGTCGTTTTCGCATTCATTTATGTCGTCACAAGAAATCGTGTCGGCAGCTAAACGATATCCATCTTGACAATCACAAACTGCTCCTTTTGGTGTTTTATAACATATACCTTGACAAAAGTTGTCCTGCGCACATGCGTTTTCTATCGTAAAAAAATATAATACATCGTAAATATTAATATGTAGTATATGAGATTTTTGGAATCTTCTTTAATTCATCAACATTTTATATTTAAAATTGTTAATATAGAGTATATTTTCTGGAATATCTTTTATAATACTAGATATCTTTTTTCTGGAAATCTAATATATTTCTTTTGTAATAATATATAATACAAAAATGAGTTTCACAAGTTCTCTAGAAAGATACTCTTTCCTAAAAATTTTCCTAGAAAGATACTCTAGAAAGATACTCTTTCCTAAAAATTTTCTATTAAAAATATTTCTAACAAAAATAATTAATAGTGCAAGAAAGATAAGCTACATACGACATTTCCCTCCTTCATCGCTGCCGTCTCGACAATCTCGAATATCATCGCATACTTTGCTATATGGCAGACAAGTGTCTTCATACGAGTTACACATGAACTCATTACATTTGTCTAACTCATTCCTATTGACAATTTTCTTGTCACCATCACAATTTTTTTCATCTAATCGGTCCCCGCAGTCGTCATCCCCGTCACATACCCATAAAAACGGAATGCATCTTCGATCGTCGCAGGCGAATTCGTCCTCTGAGCAAAATAAGCAATCGTGCTCGTCATCGTTTTTTGGACAATCATTTTTGCCGTTGCATCTACAAGAAAGAACAATGGATAAACATAGTTTTTAGGATTAAGATTACAGTTACTTCTTCTAAACGTCAGATAACAAATTTTCACTGCACGATAAATAGTGATTAACAAAAGTTTTTCTAAAAAATAATCTAAATATAATCTCTTGATCAAGGGTATGACTCAAATTTCTTCTCTAAAATTTATGGTATTTCTCAAAGATGGAATTGTAACTCCTGAAGGGTACACAAAATTATTCCAAGAGTTGCGAAGAACTCCAAAATTTTCATTTATATATTTTTCTTATAATTAAATTGTAATAAAATATATTGATCAGATTCATATCAATTATTTATTTAATATTAAAATTTGCTTTATTAGAAACAAAAAATATAAATAAACTTATTAAAATGTAAAAAGCAATTAGGGAAATAATTTTTAAATTCATTTTTTTGGTAATTTTACAAACTCTATATAAATTACTATCACATAAAATAAAATAAAATATTCTTTAATATAAACTTCAGATTATTATTATAAATAAAATATTAAATATAAGATTGCACATTTAAGATCGAGGCATTTTGTATTTTTCAAAATTTTGAAACAGATTCAAGAAAAGTTTCGAAAATTTCGATATAAAGTAATATTATAATGTTTGTGCATGTTGTTTACTATACTCTTACATTTTAAAAGGATCAACTCACCTCACTGTTTTCGGGAGACACAATTCAGTATCGAAACATCGATATTCATTTTCGCTACAATTCGTGAAACGATTTGACCTTCCATCTAAGCAATACTTTTCATCACTACCATCGAAGCAATCGTTGATACCGTTGCACTTAAGCGATAAAGATATACAATGACCATTGGCGCATTGGAAATCCTCATTTTTACACTTTTTTTCATTTGATTTGCATAACTCGGATGCTTCATCCGATGCGTCAATGCAATCCATCTTAAATATAAATACAATTATAACATTATAAAATAACATTGACATATGAATGAAGAAATCAATTACAAAGTTCACATATTTTAAGTAAAAATCCGGTATGTATTTTTATCCATTTTATCAAGTTCTTTTTGTAAGATTACACTTTGAATACAATCTGAATACATTTAATTAATGTTTGCTTTTACAAAATAAAAACTAGAAAAAATAGCAAATTCATGCGTGTAAAATATTAATATAATCGCTACCCACCTCTCCATCACATACGAAAGTCTTCGGAATGCACGTCTGGTCGTTGCACATGAATTCATTCAATTCACACACGTGTTGTTTGGAAGGCGATACAATACAATTATAAAATGATTCATCGCTGAGATCAAGACAGTCAGCTAAGCCATCGCATTTTTTAATACGTGGTATGCAAGATCCATTGGTACATTGAAATTGATCTAAAAGAAATATACATTTAGTATAAAATAATTAACGACTATACAAGATTTGGATCTATATACTCAACAAAAAAAATAATAAGTTCACTCAAATATTTGTTTATTCGTTTGCATTTAGATATAATTAATAGAAAATAAAACAAGGATATATGTTTGTAGAACGCTTATGATCGTATGTAATTACCACTTTGGCATTTCGGTTTATCGCAGTTCTCCTCATCTGAGTGATCAGGGCAATCGAGAAACGTGTTACAATGAGATTCTAAATTAATACACGTGCCGTCTTTACACATGAATTCATTTTCCTCGCAATGTTTTTCACAATCTGTCGTTTCGTCTTCACCATTCGGGCAGTCCACTTTACCATCGCATCTAAAGATATTGCAAGATTCCAAAAATATATTCGTAATTTCATATTATATGTAGAATCCGAGACTAGAAGTAAGACTATGAAACATTCTTTATGTTTTCATTTGAAAAATATTAAATACAAGATAAAAAATTAAAAGAAAATTAATTAATCTTAATAAAAACCATAATGATGAACAATATATCGATATGTTATAAATAAACATTATGGTTATCAGGATATTTTTTTCAGATATTTTTTATTTATGAATTATATATAAAAATACTAATTAAACATACCGCTGCTCCTTTTTTATGCAAATATTATGCTCGCTACACATGTATTCGTCCGCATTACATTTAGGCAATGAAGAGCATGTGCTATTATTAATCAACACCATTTTGGGAGGACAAGCACAAATCTGCGAGTAAAATTACCGTAAAATTTAACATTAAATTTCTTTAATAAATAGTATAGTTATGAACAAAGACATTATTAAAATAATCAAGTTTTAATTGTACGTAAGATGCTTGTATTGTATCAAACATTTGGCTTCGTAATAGTATTACTTATTTGTAATTTATATACTCACAAACGAAGTAGCAGTAGAAAGCAGACATACGTGCGAGCAATTTCCGTTATTTTTCTGACAACCATTTACCTCTTTAATAGGTTCTTTGTGCACACTTATTATAGATAGAAATGAATAGGAGGAAAATTCTGAAAAGATTATATTTTTTTCAAATTCTATTCTATGCAGATGTATCCTGTTATCAAATAGGCATTAAATAAACTCACCGAATGCAACGCCCTTATGATTCGGAGGAGAGATTTTAAAATTTGTCCAGTATATTATTTTTTGCGTATTGTGTTCGGTCCAAAAGATATTGTCCCCAGCAACAGCAAGGTTTGCAGGAAACTTTAATCCGGTACGAAAAACGTGTGTGTCTGAAAATTTAATATTTGATATTTTTATATCGTACTTTTATATCGTACAAATTCGAATAAAATATCACACGTACATACGCAGCGATATTTTTATAGCGAAAAATTTGATTTATTAAATTAAGCTTATCCAGAATTTAAATGTTTGCAAAAATTAGAATTACTAACTTCCATTCGAGTAAGATAAAATTACACCAGCCGAGTGATCGCCTATAAAGAGTGTTTTACTATCTTTGTCATAGCACATTGATACGTGCACATCAATCAGTGAATTTTCCAAGTTCTCCTTAATTAGTTTTCTTAAACCCAATCCGTTCATATTCATCTCATATAAACTAAAATTTCTCTTCAAATTTAATTTATTTTTCTTAAATCCGACATGCAATTCACTTCCGAATGACACAAACATTTTGCTGCAAAATACAATATTCAATATTATATTATATTACAGCTATTTTGTTAATAAAACTGATGATTATCTCGAAGATGATAAATGTATAAATGTATATCATATCAATTCAACCTTGTCGTACCTTTCCTCAGGTACCAACATGATTTCGTAAGGACTTTCTTGAAAATAAAGGACTGTTTTCTGCATGGTTGTCATGCTGTGTACTTCAATAGATTTCTCTAGCGCATTTGACAAATACAAATTATTACCAATATGATCAAATGCAATCGCTTCAATTATTGCATGAATTGTGAAAGGTGTCTCAAAAATTTCATTGCTTGGATCATAACGCGTGACGTTCGCCGACGATAACCAATTGTTATTGCATATATATACCTTGCCTAGATAAGTTATAATTAATAAGTTATAAATGAAATAAGTTGTAAATAAGTTATAAATGAAAGGTAAGCTGGAAATGCTATAAGTGTCCATAATATTTTCTATAAAATAGCAATTCTAACATACCAGACGATGAATCGAAAGCTAGTTTCGTTATAAAGTCCAAAGTCAACTTTGGATTATTTATTGTTTTTGGCTTTCCTATCATCCCATAATAACAGTATATTAATTTTCCTAATGTAGCGATTAATAAATACTGCTCCTTCTTCTTCTCTAAAATTATATTTAGGCTTAATTAAAAATGTATATTAATATTTCATTAATATTAACATTTCAATTTATTAGTTTAATATATCTTAAAGATGTGTCAGTTTTTTTTGCTTTTTGGGTGGATTTTTACCTCGACAAGTGTGATTATCGGTATCCAATTCCTTGTTTGAAGTGCAAGCACATGTGTAACTTTTATTCTGATTCAGCATACACAATTCAGAACACGGATTAGGATGACATGGATTGTTAAACTGAAATTACACGATAATGTAAACTTTTCGTAATGCCGCTTCTGTTATAATATAAATAACAATAAACAACAATAAATAAATAACAATATAATGCATAGCGTACTTTACGCTTCAGTGCCGAGTGTTCGATGTACAAGCCATAAGGTTCATTATTCGTACGTATTAAGATATGCCAATCCTTGCCATTAAACTTATTGCAGGATTGTATCGTCTTGCTTTCCCAATCGCTCCAATATAATCTATTTTCAAACGTCACCAAGGAGGATGGATGCTGTATTACATCGTGCAATACTATCTGCAAATAATTGAATTGAAATGTATTAAGAATCTGTATAATACTGTAAATACCGTAAAATATTTTATAATATAAAGAAACAAGCATTAACTCTTCGATCGGTGCCATCTAAGCGTATTGTTTCAATCATTTGTAACTTGGCGTCCACCCAATATAAACGATCATTTGGATAATCAATAGTTATACTATTTGGCCAAACTATGTTTGTGGAAACTAAAATTTTGGTATTTTTGCCGTCCATACCCGTCTCTGAAATATGCGGAGCATTCGAGGAACAATCAGACCAATACATTTTTCTGCAAATGTGATATATGTTAAATATCATAATGCTATATTACACATATTTTGTTATTTTTATTTTCTAAATTATTTTTTAAACAATTTAGAATATTATCTTAATGCCTTTTAATTGCAGACAAAAATTTATAAAAAGATATTGTATTATTATTTAACTTTTAAGCAAATTATTAGCATAGAGTAAATCTAAAATAAATAATTATTATTAAGAACTAATAATTCTCTCTCTTTTTCTCTTCTCAGTTTTTAATAATAATATTGTTACAATAGAATTTAAGTAAATTGTATATAAAAAATGTAATATGTTTACCCCTTAGATGGTAATAAAGCTAATCCTTTTGGTTCAAGAATATCATTGATTAATATGACGCAGTATGTGGCATTATTATCGCAAACTACGATATGATTATAGCCATCGTCAATAAAATATATGTTTTTCGTGATCCAATCTACGACTATTTCCGTTACCGAAGTATAAACCTTTATACAAAAAAATTTATGTTTTTGATACA